CCAAATAAGAATACAGTACGTGGCTGGGTAGCCAGTAGTTATGCATGTATTTAGATTTCACCATATATATTTAGGAAAATCTATACATTAAAAATTGGGCGGCTTTGCCGAAGATAAAAATATAGATAAAGTCAGTTTTGGATTTAAACGGAAGAGTTAATTAGCCTCGGGTTAAGGCAAAAATCACTCTTGGAGTATAGAACGAAAGGTCGGTGACCTAACTTACGCTTCCTCAAAGCGCAAAGCTACGGCAGCCCCGCTGCACGGTAGAACTTGTAGTCAATCTACACCTGAGTCGTTTAGACTGATCGTCTGTGAGGATGGAAGAATTTTCCTCTTTGCCCCAGGGCATGCTGGACGAGCTGAACAAGCTGATGTTCGTGCTTGGCCCTGAGGGCGTGCAACATCTCGCGGCGCAAGGCCCCGAGGCAATCGGTGCGCGTCTAGATGCGTTTTCAAATTACGACAACGCGCTGCTAGAGCACCTGCAGCAAGAGATGTCTGCATCATTTGCGTCTATGATGCCACCGTGAGTGACGGATGATTTTCTTCGCCCTAAGCCGCTCATGGTGAGCGTTAAAGTCTTCGAGGGGAAGGATGGAAAGAATCTCTTGCTCTGGGTGAGAGATTTCGAGATGGCCATCGCATCCACCATGCTCCAGACCGAGCAGCAGCGCGTGGCGCTAGCCATTCCAAAGCTCGGTGGTCGAGCGCAAAAATGGGCACTGATGTGCGGCACTTCGGTCGAAGCTGCATTTTCCTCCTGGGCGGAGCTGAAAATGAAGCTTTCACGAGTGTTCTCGCCACCTAATCAGGCATATTGCGTGCAATCGCGTTTCCTTGCCGCCCGACCGGGAAAGAAGAAATTAGTGGACTTATCCAAGAGTTGCGTACTCTCAAAACCCTAAACCCTAGGATCTCAGCTATGCTGAGGACGCGGAAGCAGAGCTCCCAGCTGCCAGGCAGCACGCAAACACACGAGGGTGGTTTGTCCGCGGAGACACCCGTCACCTTCGGAGCGGTTGCCCTGCGCAAGGCGCGTCAAGGTTCTTCGAATCATCGCCCCAATGCCTACCAGTCTAGTTCGTCGCGGGTACGACACCACCCAATAGGCGCCGGGCGGCCTACTGGGGAAGAACTGAGTTATGTTGAGCCTCAGGGAGGTAGAGGTCAACAGGGCCCAGCCCTAAAGAGCTCCGTGCTCTTGAACATGGAACGTGTATACAAGCCGGGCTTGCTGGTCGTGGAGGCGACCGAAAGGGCTTCGAGAAGCTATGGAAGATCTTCATCGATTCTGGGGCGTCGGGCAATTATGCTCGATGCTCCACGATGGAAGGAAGCCAGCTGTAA